CTTCTCCACATCTCAGGGTTGCCAGATGTGTTGCAAGCTATTTCCCCATCACATCTTTGGAATTTTTCCAAATAACCTATCCAATCCTTCGAAACGAAAAAAATATTCTCCAAGTTATGGACCAACAATATGGGCTGATTAGGGTTACCATAGTCATCTTTTACCCGGACATGGCCCTTTCGAAGTAAGAAAAAAGTGCCTAGGCGGATTTAAAAGAATGAACTAAATGTCCTCTTTTTTATTGGAAAGGGGTACTACTTTTAAGTGTAACCTAAACACATAATGAACGAAGGATACTGCGCTTTGTTCAACTTTTTCGAGTTCTCGACATCATAACATTTTATTGTTCTATAAGTAAATGACATCTAACTTAAACTATCTCGCCTAACCGCCAAAATCCATAGATATACTTTATCTATATTTACGTCCTTTTCTCCATGAAATGCAACAGTGCTGCGATAAGCTGGTACAACGTACTGGATGATATTGCCTCTGCTCTGTGCTCTGATGATTCTGTGCTCTGTGGTGTTAATACTATTCTTGCTGGCGCGTGCAGTTAATCCAGATAATCCTGAATTTTTTTTCAAAATTGTGTTATATGATATTAGTATTCTCTTACAATGTCATTAGGATGAAAGTGAAAACAATTTTGAGTTTGTATTGTTGTTAGTATTTTTACAAAAACGAGCATCCTTCCAGAAGGACGTGAGGAAAACGGGGTAACTTTTTGTGAATCTTCAATTCATCAATTATCAATTGACTTTACAGGAGGATGTAATGTTTCATCCACACCACTTTTTGATATTTCCTTGTCGTTTGTTTCTAAAATGTCCAAACGTTCCAACAGTGTACATAGTTTCATCTATGTATAAAATGACCGCATATTATCCTGACGACCTTCTGGAAGGAGGGTTCAAAACAAAATTGAATAACTATTGACGAAAAACTGCAATTGTAATGTATCACTGTAAATAATGTAGTTCATTCCTTTAAGGTGTTATATCAACAGTTTCAGAGTTATTGACATCATGTGAATGAAAATATACATATCCGTCAATAAGAGCATCAGTCAATTTGTCTATTGTAAAATTGCAATATTTTCAAAACACAATTTCTCAAAAACTATAAATTATATCGTCAAAATTACGGTTGCAGTTCGTTTCTGATTTAATGTACTTTATATAAATATGTGTCACTTTCCCTTACAACAGTGCATTATTCACGAAAATACGTTATTTCAACTATGAGTAACGTCGTCCCAGAAGGACGTCAGGATTATCTGGAATGCTCTACGAAGATTTCATCATCCACCAAATACTTGTGGTATAAAAGTGGAAGTGATAGTAATGATAATGAAATATTGTGAGATTGGGAAAGTGATAGTGATTGGAATACTTATTTTGTCAGTAGTGAGTATTTTGTCTTTACGAAAAATAAATTATTGTATTAAAACATTTTATGTGAAGTGTCCTCTTTTTCCGAAATAGAAGTAAGTATGGTAACACTATCCCTGACGATTCTATTGACCCTTAAATTCAAATACTACAAATCCACCAACCATCGTCGTTTGAACTTCTCTAAGTCCTCTATTAGCCCAATTCTATTATCTTGTACTCATATTTTTCTCTCTATGCCTTTCGCGTACTTTTCTCTTTTTTATATAAAAATGAGTGATAATGTATATTGTCTCTTTTTTATTCATAATAATTGAGAAAATAATATTTCTATCTTGACTCCGGATGAAAATAATTTCTCCAAAAAATCCCCAATGATTTCCCCGTTCCACATTGTTTTCCCACCACTAAAAATTCCCATTTTTTGAGACAATTTTCCAAACTGGCATCCTTGCCACAACTGCCTCAAGGTGTTGGAAACATATCCACAGTCTTCAAATCGTAACCCAATTGTGCATGTGGTGTGAGCTGAAAGCTCGGTTACAAAAAAATTTAAAATTTCCTCAAGAGAGGAATTGAAGACGAGATTGGGCGGAAGAATGACTATCTAGGATACACAGTTCATACATTTTTTAAAATTTGCTGCATGTATGCCGAATGTATTGAAAGAAGTGATTTCACACACAGGCTACCCTACCAAGTACCATTACTCGCGCAACTCTTCTTGAACGATGACCTTGACCCTCTCTGACACAATAAACAGTTGAAGACAAAAGCCAATCCATCGTTCAAGAAAAGTTGCGCGAGTAATACTAACATAATACGAAGTATACTACGAATAAAATTAGAATGTGTTTTACATTTAGATGTGGCACTATTCCACAATGTACGTATTCATACAGGAGCGCAGCTCAGCTCGTAAAACTACAGGTAGATGCTACTGAAGTATACGGATTTCATGATGAAATTGCGTTTATTAAGAGCTGGTAGAAAACTTAAAAGAAAATTCATATTATTTCATGACCTCGTGGTTTTATATTCCTAGGATAAGGGCAAGTCATTAAATATGTAAAATTACATAGAACTAACGTTTTAACCTTACATTTGACATGTATCGGAACCAACGAGCTAGAACATACTACATAGAGTGTCTGTCCCTGTAGTTTCAGCGCTCTTGGTGAAGGCTCGCCGCACTAGTGCCCGCCATATTTGTTGAAGTCAAAACATACGAGGGGCGGTGTAACTTGGGCGTAACCGTCTGTACCCGCCCCAAACGTAATGCTAGAATACTTTGTTTCCCAGAAGGCACTTATTTGACTGCAAAAAATATGGCTTCAATTTACTTCGAAAATAGAGGCGTTTCAGCCACTCTATGTAGTATATTTTAGCTCGTTGATCGGAACATACTTGATATGCACCAAATTAATTCTTAAACTTTTCCAGTTAACACATCAATAACAATGCATATGTCGAAAGGAGCGCACTGTTTTACAATTAAATGCAGCAATAATAAAGAAAAGAACTCGAGTTACGTTGTTTTTACTTGTCCAATAGAGCTAGAAAGGAAAGACGATAATTTGTTATTACTTCTTGACAGATATGTAATTATCTTTAGATTCATTTATTTACTACTTACATTTCTATATATTGTCATAAACCGTATAGAAATAATTGTTCTTCCTCACGAATCACGATTCCACTATTCACTTGCAATAGATTCATTAGATTTAGATCATTTATTTCCTTAAAACTTAGGGTATTCCAGCGGAGACAGGGATATGCACAGTGCAATGTTCATTTGTCTGTAACCACAGTGACGTAATGCAGGCTACCGAACTTAACCATTAAAGTGCTTTCAAGGTGCGAACTTGATCATTAAAATGAATTGGTAAGTATGCGGTGCATATACTCAAGGTTGTTTATAGTGAACGCGAAGGACGAAGGTGCGAGCCTCGTCATCACTTGGATTCGGCCGAGCGAAGCGATAAATCGTGTCTTTGAAAGTAACATCACGAATATATGGTGATGCATCTTGCCGACTATATTTGTAAACAAGACTAAAAGGCTATATATATCATTTTTGGGAAATGGTAGAAGATATAAAAGAGTTGTACTCTGGACATGAATAAACAATTCAATTTAAGATTTAATATGATTGTGTCGAATATTTATAATCACCCTATCCATGCCTGTTTCATATTTCATACGCTTAGGTTGGCAGTTCGATTACATCTAGTGGTGGGGATGACGTAAGCGAAAAAATGCACATCGCACTCCGCATATAACAAAGTCTGCGCTAGAATTCCCAAAAATTGTTCAAAACTTCTACTTCACGTGTTGTCTTAGTCATATGCATAAAGAAATTAATTTATAAACATTCACTTTTCGGTTAGATTTCGCAAAACGATGCTGTATTACGAAATGTAAAGCAGCGAAATATTTTTTTATGGCAGCGCGGATCACTGAAGCCGCTGACCAACATGTCGTCATAGGGCATGATCTGCCACAGCCAAGATCATGCACATGACTCTGGCCGCGGAAGCTTACGACTTCACGTCGTCATAAGGCATTTTACACGGAGCTGCGCTACTGTATAGATGCGTATACTGTGACTATATTTTTATTTATTTAGAGCTGTACTTGGTAGGTCGTCAGTTGTTACAGTGTCATCCAATCGGGAGCTTCCACAGTACTACTGTGAACTCATTATGGTGACGTTTTGTGTAAATTCAAGTATAACAGAAGGAATGTTGAAAAACTTGTAAAAAGTTTGTTCCTAACATTTGTAATATGTGTTAACATATGTTCCCTAATTTTAGGTGACAACAATGCGTAAATGCCGAAGCTTCTGATTCGCTCTTCCCTAGGCTGACGTCATCACATGACTACGAAATGTCAATCACGTTCTAATTTTATTCCGAGATTAACAATTGTTAATTTACGAAGTGGACGAATATTAAAATAGTCCAACAGTTTTGGTTTATTTGTTTTTTGTGGTTTTGCTACATTCATGTTAACATGATTTTGCTTCATTTTGTACACACTTTACTATAATAATAAACTTTTGTTTTGGGCATCAATTGTTAATCTTTCACCTTCCTATCATGTGAAAACAATAATAAAATTGAAGTTGGTTCTATGACCGAATATCAAAACTGTGCGTCAGTTTACCTACTCTATAACCGTTAGCTCGTATTATGCAGTACTGATCCAGTTCTGTCTGGCCACCCAGAGGTGACAATGCTGCCTTCAGAAGCTCTGAAAGTTGCGTGTTCTGGACATTTATTGCGGTATCGAAATATTATGTAATCGTTACTAATGCCAGAAAGTACGAGCTGTCATTCCTCCACTACTTTCATTATCGTACTTATTATTAAGAATATACTCTTCTATACTCACTCAAGCAAGCTGTTACTGAAATTATCAATACCAAACAATACTTTTGATATCAATAATAAGTTAACTGTTAATGAAATACTATTAAATAGATAAGTCTATTAATAAACCGTGTTTATGAAAAAATGTATAAAAATAGAAATTCCCTTAGGAAGAGGAAATTATAATAATCATTCTGAAAAATAATTCAAGATAATAAGCCATACTTACATATTTGCCTTTCCTAAAGTGGGCATTGCAAGGCATCTTTGCACCATGGCTTGATTGACAGAACATGCAGCTAACCAGCTAAAATAATTTCCAAAACATACACCCCAAACTGTATGGCGAATTGTTGGATCAAAATCAAAACTAAAACAATAATTACAAATTGGATTAGATCCTTAGAAAATGTGGTACAGCAAGTAATATTAATTACTGTTTCAGTTACATTTGTTCAAGAAGAAAATAACAAACATTTGGAACGTTCAACTCACTTTAAAAATTCAAGTCTACCACTCTCCATGCTTCTTTCCAACACAACTTGAGGACCTCCAACAAAAATTGTTCCAAGAATCAAAACTAAAACTACACCACCAGTCATAAGTATTGTTTGGAGTGTGTCTGTCCACACAACAGCTTTTAATCCACCCTGTAATTACCAATCAGGCAAATATAATAAATAAAAAATAGATAAACACGTGTAAATGTATTCAGCAATACCACTAAAGATTTTTATTGACATAAAACTACAAGAATTTTATTTTAGAAAACACTATATAAATTGTTAAAATAATCCTACAATCATGTTTCCTGAGCCAAAATTCTTCTTACAATAAATAAATTTACTTATCAGATGTCTGATTCAGCAATAACAAAATTAGTAAATTGTGAACATTCATATTTTTCTCAAAATATGTATTTAAATAAAAGACATTCTACTTGCATGCATGTGGACTCGGAGAGAAAAGAAATTTACCTTATTGTCGTTATGAAATCGTGAAATGGTTTTCCATCAATATTAAGTTTACAAAATGGAATTCAAATTATGAAATAATTTTAATTAATATTGATCTGTATTAATTCAGGTTACGAACTTTTATGGCAGTAGAGTTTATTTATAGAGTGGAAAGTAACTTTTTTTATCATGTTTTTTAGTGTTATATTATGCATGCAATTGCATTCAAGTGTCATATACTTTTAAACAAATACTTATGGAATCCTGTGTGTATTTTATCCTGTGTACAAATATAATAATACAATTATTCAAACATGATCTGCCTATCAAAGAATCCTCTTCAATAAACATATTTTCACAAATTCATTGAAATAAAACTACATAAGCATGAATCTCTTACCAGTGTTGTATAAAATATACAAACAATGCAAACTATGGGGGTAATAAGATGAAGATTTATTCCAGTCACTGAAACAAACGTTTTTAAATATGTATTTGAATTACAAGAACATGCTGAGAAAAATGATACCTACTGAAAAATATTTCATCAATTGTGTTTGTATTCATTAGTTAAAGCTGTGTTTACCTTGATTGAATGCTAGCGCAGGAACGTACACCACAATTGGTATATAAAGCAACTAGAAACATTAATAAGCATAAATAGAAATTGTTTATAATAATTTGCAAGTGTAGATTTATGTATGTCTAAAATGTAGACTCACCATTTTGACAAGAAATAAGCATGACCCCAATAGACGTACAGGTTGGCTGAATCTCATTCTCAAGTACTAAAAATAAATAGAATTTGAAAACTCATTCTTTAAATTAGTAGAATAATTTTTATATTGTGAACAAAATACACACCTCATAAGAAGAAGTTATTCGAAGCTTGTAGAACACAGGCAAATACACTACAATCATTGTTACACTCACGAAGAATTCTGGGACAACTATCATCCAATATTGAGTACCATAAACGTACATTTCAGCTGGAAGGCCTAAGAGTGAAATTCCAGATATGTAGCTGTAAATATTTTGCGAAGTTTAACTCACTGTTTGGCAACAATGTGTTCATGCTAATACTTAATAAGTGTAAACTAGTAAGATCTAGTGAATGAAAATTATAAGAAATTTAAAATGACATGCATAGAACAGAAGGTATTGCCATGTTTTAGAATTGTTAATAATAGATTGTTTTGGAACCTACAGGTATTTTCTTCAGTTCTTCTAACCAGTACCTACATAATATTACATATTTCTTTTGCTTGGAAAAAAACAGTTTAATATAGAGCTGAGAAAACGTAACCAAGTTAAGTTAATGTATTACAATAAGATATTTCCCTTTTCATGAAGTCCCATGAATACTTATGTATTTATACAAAGTAATTCTAGACTTGTTACACTAACTCAGTAATAAAAAGTAATTATTTTCTTTATTTATCACAAAACTTATAATAATTAAACCATCCATTAAAATAGTATTCAACCAAACATCAATTAATTATTCTATACGTTACATTTAAATGCTAAGAAATATTCATTTAACAGTTAAAACATGTTAAGCATCAATTCAATGAAGGGTGTGATTGCAGGACAAAAATTAGTAGAATGATTTAATGTGTTGACCTTGAGAACAATTTAAAAATTAGCCTCATTGAAATGGTACTTAAAATGACCACTTTATTGTTACTGAAATCCTTGAAAGACAGTATTAAATGCTTACCTTGCTATTAATGACATGGATATAGGAAATATACCCATTGTTCTTCCACCCATCAAATATTCGGATGTTGTATTTTGCTTTTTTGCAGCAAAAAATGCAAAATACACACCAATGCATGTTGATAAAATTAACGATAAAGCAAACACTAAGTAATCTATCCAATCAAATATATTCTTCACACTATCTGAAGACATGCCAAGTCCTGTAAATGAAGAAAAAAAAATGTTTCCAACAAATGAAATAACGTTAGAAACAGTAAATGTATTTATTTTTGTTATTTTAAACTCTCATTACTAATTGCCAAAAGTAAAAGCTGGAAATCACAAAATATTCTGCACTAAGAAATAATTTTCCAGCATACTACTATATTTTGCATGTGATTACCTTATCTTCAACACTTTTGTCTCAACTTATTTACAATGCTGTTATCTTTGTAGTAAATTACCCATGAATTACAACAGTCCTGGATTTCTCAGTGAGATACCTAAGTTAAAATATGATCCATTCATATTTAACACTTCCTGAATTGTCATTTGCTTGGCATTAAGAAAGTTGCTTATATTTTGATACACTTATGTAAACAAAATCCAGCTGGAATGTCAGGACTTTTAACAAATGTTTTAAGAACTCATGAGAAAAAACTCACAAAAATGAAATTAAAGTCATTTGAAATATACTTGAGTCACTAGTAAAAAGAAGTGAATAACCTGTTTAATCTACCTGAGATATTTTGGGCAAGCATGTTGTCACAGTTCAACTGAGAAACTTCATCTGTTGGTGTGAGTGTAGGCCACGAGTTGTGGCTACTCCCACCTTCAGCAGCCAGGCAATTGCATTAACAAGGAGTAGGCTGAATCCCTTTGTGGGGGAAAGAGCAATCTCAAGTCCTAATACAATGAAGAGATAATGAAAAAATGGGTTGCAATTTAGATCAGCAGTATCTGGCTTGGGTTAGTTCAAACCAGGCAAAGCAATTCCAAAGAACTTCTCCAGCGGGTCAGTAACTCAAATTTTCATGAAGGTAATTATAGAGGTAGTGTTGAATAATGTGAAATTCACAGCTCAAATAAAAAATGTCATTACACAATAACTAATGATTTGTTTCAAATGATATTTGAGTCACAAATATAAACAAAAAATTTTGTTTTGAAGATACCAGTAAATTTGTCGAGTTAAATATGGGATATTTAGTTGTGGAATATGGAATCTAATATATGAGTATTTAAAAAGGGGTGTGAGGCAGAGAATAAGTGAAAACAAATAATTATTAAGACATTTTATTTAAAAGAAATTTTCATAACATTTATACAAGACATGATTTTTTTTTTCTTTTTTTTGCTTGCTTTTTTAAATTTATACAGGGCTTCTTCTATTCTTTTTTTTCCAAAACTGTTTGGATACTTGGAACACTTACCTGAAACAAAAAAAGGAAAGAATAAAAAGGTGAAAGTTTCAAGTGAAATTATTTTTAATAATGTAAATACTCACTGCTCTTATTTTCTTCCGCACACTTAATATAGTTTCTTCCACAGTCAGACTTCCCAAAGCTGCTGATGTACTTTCATGTTCAGAATCACTGTTCAATCTTTTCTGAGACCTGTATAGAAGATTAATTTTTAAATTTTTAAAATGATCATTCTTAATATAAAAAAATTAGCTTGAAGATAACTGTACTAACTCATTTCTAAACACAATCCTTCGAGCAGTTTTCACTTGGGTAGGTATAAATCTAAGAACTGGTAACGGACCAGGAGTGTTGTCACTTGTTTTTCTTTCCAGCATATTTGAATTTGCCTCTGATGTGGATTGAAGATGTGAATTAGAAGATGGTAATTTCTTCAGCGATATTATTTTCCTTTCTCTGACACCAGCTTCAATCCATTTTTTGTCAGGTTTCACAGGACCATAAACAGTTTCTGTCTGAGAAAAATAATAAAAATCTTACAATGTAATTCACTGCATTATGTGTAAATTAATTTCAGAGGTAGCCCTTCCTACACAAGGTGATATACATTGTAAAAGGCTCATTATCAAAAGATGATATCAAATACTACACTTCATTGATTTTCGGTTATTTAAGCTTTCATACTGTTTGTAAGTTGCATAAATAATCATAAGAATTCAACCAAACATTGAACTGTATTTTGATAAATATATTAAGAAAAATTATATTAAGTATGTTGTGTTGTGTTTGATATATCTGTGTGCAGTTTAGAGTTTAAATCTATATCTTAGAAACAATATAAATGATAAGTTAGTTGGCCAAGCCCTTTGACCAAATATTCTCTTGTGAAACATCAGATTTACAAAAAAAAAAAACACCTACTTTTTATTCTTCCATTTTATTTTCAGAACAAACAAGGGGTCTGCATTTTAGATTGTGACTTACTGTGTCCTTCTATTAATTGAAAAGACCAAAAATCATTCTATTCTTTTAATTATAAACAATTATCCTCAGTTTTAGTGAAGCCTTAGTACATATAATTTTATTCCTTTTCAATATTTCTTTTCATAGGTTAAATCAGAGTTATACCTTAGAAACTTCAGAGGTTTGCAGTCTGGGATCTATGTCAAGTGGAATTCCTTGCCAAATGCAGTGTGGGTTTTGGGCTGCTGCTGCTGACAGGCGCTCTGCAGTGAGCGGCAGGGCAGGATGTTTCTTTTGCCTGTGATACTGTTTAGGTGCATTTGATGTCCGCGTCACATTCTGGCCACCTCGTGTCTTTCTCGCAACTTCTTTCCTACGCTGTATTAGTTTTGCTCTAGTTTCATCAATTGACTCCATTTCAGGAGCATAGCACACATGTAAAACACTACCAAAGTAAGATTTATCATCCAGGTGAGTCTTTGCAAATCTGGAAAACAGGATTGATTTAGTTACACATTTTTTTTAGGTTAAAAAAATAAAATAAAAAAATAAACATTCAAAATGACAGTTTTTATACAAGCTGGGAAAATTGAGAAAGGTTTTCATTATGGATTCTTTAATTTGTTTTCAACAATTGTTGGGTCCACTTTTATATACTGAGAAATATATAATTTTTTTAAGTGAACATTCTGATCTGGGAAAAGCAACACATATACAATTCACATTTTGGGGAATTCAAATTAGTATTCGTTAAATTTCATATTTATTGTTAAAAAATAAAGAAAACATCTGATGTGCGAGTGGGATGTAGAAGCTGTATTGTGTAAGTTGGAGGAGCTAGTAATTTTCACATATAGTTTTTAATGTAAAAATATTTTTATTTCTCCCTTTGCCCCCTATAATTCATCGATTTCAGTTTTGGATTAAGTGGACTTTCAGATAACTAAAATTCAGATTAGAAAGACTATAAAGATTTTACATGATCCAAACAATATTTAAAACATCAGTAGTTTTCATTTACTTTTAAATCAATGTAACAAAAAAATATCAGAAAAAATGTTTCACAAACTAATTTTTTTTCTTTCATCTCTCTCTATTTTAATACATAGAGCTCAGGACACTGAACTGTAAAACATCAGTTTATCATTAGTCCTTTCTACAAAAAGTATCTCAAAGGCAGGGTAGTTACATCAGTCTAGAAAGTGAAATTATTACAAGTGGATTATTTACCTAATTCACTTTCATTAGTGTATGGAGCAATCCCCCAATCTTGGTATGGAACATTTTGATTATTTTTTTTTAAGTCACAATAAATGCAACTCAATATACAAAACTCATATGTAAAAAACTTAAAAATTAACTTATGTATTGATTTAAAATGTTACCTGGTAATTAACAGTACCACACAATTTTATTGTTTCTCCTGAAAATTGAGTTTAACACTTTAGAAGCAAATAGTAACAAGGAAATGTTAAGGTTTTGTGGACCCTAAACTAAGTACAGAAAGAGCCATTCGTGGCTCTTGCATGCTATTAATGATAGAGCATCATTAATATAATATTGGTTTTGTTTTTTAATCTATAATAATTTTGTTTATTACATGATATCCAAATAATCAAATAATTTTTTTAACTAAACGTTTCTTGAAAGCTTTTTCCCTTGACCTTAAGTTCAAATATTACAGTTATCTTAAAGAACAAATCTAAAATATTGGTAAAGAACCAATTGTAATGTATGGTTCAGTGTTGAGGGTTCACCAGCCCTGAAAACCTGCTGATATCCTGGCAAAAGAAAATCTTAAGGAATATATGGGCCTGAAATTAAATCCCAATGGCTACCGTGGCTGAGTCACCTGTCACAAATGCAAAGGAGACTGTACCAAAAAGTGGTCTTGTAAACTACAAGGTAAAAGAAAGAGCTCGACGCTATCTCTGGGTCAGCGTGCTTGCTTTCCACTACATGGCCCCAGATTCAATTCCCAGTTGAGCCAAGACTATATAGAGTGCATTTTCCTAGCAATGTCCCAGTATATATTGCTGTGCGATGAGAAAATTCACTTCTTAGGTTGGCAAGACCGGAATACAGTGTGGGGAGGTCTATGTGCTAATCCTTAACCCATGGCCATGTGGCAGGGACATCACCGGCAGGCCAGAGTGTTCATAGGCTGTTACGCCAAGTACATACATACAAAAGAAAGAGGGAGGCCATGATTACGATGGCTTAAAGATTGTGGAAATAGGCAGAAAACAGTGGATGTGAGGGGCTGGAGAAGTGATGGGTGAATGGATAGAAACAAACAATATCATAGTGAACAGTGCCAAGACTGCACTGAAAGGTCCTAGGTCAACTGAAGAAGTTCAAAAGGGCTTCTTTGTTAATTGATTAAAGCAACTCTAAATACAATTTTAAGCTAGTTTGTAAATGTGTGCACACACTATTTTTTGAAAACATGCTCTGGATATTCAATATAATATATACAGTATTGAATAATATACACATTGTGTAGTAATAAAATACATGCAGTGTAATACACAAACTCAGTAACAGTGACTATCCTTTACCTTGCCGACTGTATTCTAGAATACTGAACATGATAAGCTTCTGTAAATTCTTCTCCTTCATAATTTGGAATAAAAACCAAAGATATAACATCGCCATATCGTGAACACAATTTTCTTAGCTCATCTTGTAAACCCAATGCAGGTACTCGGGAAATAATCAAGTGTTGTGATTCATCATTTATAGTATATACCTACAAAAATTACTCTAAAATTACATCTGTAACTGTCAAGGAAAATAATTGCACATAATACAACTTGAGTTTGCAAAACGGACTAAAAATAATCTTAAACTTAAATAATAAAACATAATAATTTTCAAACAAATTACTGAAATAGAGAAAAATATTTCCCCACAATATGCATTAATAGGATACTTTTTTTTTGTGCAGTGCACCTTTATCGCAGTAAATTTTCTTCCTTGCCTGTACTTTGCTCTTGAAGTACACACTTCCATTCTTTCATGATGAGGAAGTTTAACCACTTCCAATTGGCCGGCCATGGAAGAAGTCTGCAACAATTAAAATCACACGTGAATTATAAAAAAACATACCAATATACAAGTATAATTCCTACTTTATGCAAACACACATCTGATGAATATCAAGTTGTTCATTTAACTAGTTTATTATTTTTTTTTTTTTGTCATTTCTATATTACATTGTTTATTACAATTAAGTTTTTCATTCAAAATAGTAAGACAAATAAATATAAAAATCAATGAATAACATATTTGAATTATATCTTTTTAAAGATTCAGTACCACTAAAGGGTATAATTTACAGTGCTCTCATAACACAGCCAAAAAATACATAAAAACAACACACATATTGCATAGTGAACCTGCATGTGGGACTTCTTCCCAGCTCAATCTGACTAATGCATGGAATAAACGAAACAACATTTTCACAAACACCAGTCTTTTTATCACTAATTAATTTTTATGTATGAAAATATCTATGTGTGCATACATGAACGGCGACTTGACCAGTATTTACTTTACACATATTATACTAGGTTACAAACAAACAGTTTCGTCAAACTTACACATACATATATATACATTACATTTTTATTTGAGTTGTTCATTTTTTTCCCTTGAAAAAAAACAGAAATCACAAATTGGAGAGAGCTAAAGCGCAAAAAGTTTGAATTAAGAAAATAATATATATATATTTGTAGCAAATACTTAGATATTTCTAGTCTTTCTCCGATCATGTATATTATGTTCAATTTTTAATCCAAATTTAATATATCTTACTATCTCATTTCACTAAAAATGGGAATTGTAAAGGACCGCAGCAAATCAAATGAAAAGATTTGACCCCCATTCAAAAAATGGTTGACTGACAAAATACCATAGTAATACAAAATAAAGAGAAAATAAACCAGTGTCCATTCAGTATTTTTCCATCATAAGTTGATTATCCCGACATGTAAAATAATTTCTCGCCCTGGCATCTAATATTATTAGCTAGTTATCTTCATCAAATTTTCTGTCCCCTTCAATCAGCTCACCACTACTGACCACCCATCTCACACCTGCTCGCTCAGAACACTTTTGACGACTGTCATCCGTAACCAACGCTATTGCTCTGATCATTTGCCCCAGAGAGTTGATTTGCCCACCACTCGAGATCGAGCACGCCGACCGATCAACTCGCACAGTGAAATGTGAGCCGGGCTCGGGACTCACCGCCACAAAGAACAGACTGACCTGACCACAGACTTCTGCTGCACTCCTTGCGTTTTTAAGCTGTCAAATACAGTTGACAAGTGAAAACCAGGGTTGCCTACCTAAAGACTTAATTCTCAACTTTCTGGCACTATTAGTTACGGTTGTTGGTTCGAGAATTAAATTAAAATATTCATCATCCTTAGATTTGCAACTAAGTTTTGCCCTTTGACAGAATTCCAGGCTATTTCATTGGATATATTTCATACAGTAGGCATCCGCAGGATGACAACTAGTTTACGTATGATTTTAGCGAACGCACATTCGTGGAGTGGAGGGTGAGGGGGCGGGGCCTGAGAAAGATTGGTTGCGTTCATCTGATGCAGATTTGAGGAAGTAATTACAGATACACGAATGAGCTCAAGTAGGGTTTATTTTGCCGATGTATCAACGATGCTACGAAGGCACCTCGTGTAACGTTGGTGGTGTCAATAAAATATATTTTGCTGAATTACACTGTAGGAAGCATATATGGTGGGGGCACGAGAGTCCACAATGGCTGCAATGTTCCATAGACGCTGTGGAGAGAGAGTAACACTGACGAACGGCAATAGAACAGCAGTTCGCAACTTCTCTGAATTTAATTATGGCCTTGTTCTTAGTAGTGAGCCCTTAGTGGATAATCAATTATTCGAAGTTAGGATTGACAGAAAGGTAATAATCGGCATTCCTCTTTATTACTTACGATGGCAATCAATGACAGTTGTTTTCACCGTATGCTAATAACATTTTATTCTGATAATACAGCTTAGAAAACGAAAGTATATACTTTGTATAGTTATTCATGCAGCCCCAATAGAGGCTGCGGGTTAGTCTTCACATCACATGTGAACAAAACCAAATGTGTTTCTCAACGTGATTTCTAGTAGAAGGGTACATTCCGATAGTATGTTTATTACAGTAATGATAATTATTTGTCTGCTTTCGTTAACCCGTTGCTTAAGTAAATGAAGAATCTATACTTGATAAACATGTTAATATATGTTTGCAAAGCACTTGTATTTTGATATATTTCAAAATTAAATAAAATTGGTGTTTCAGATTAATTCATGGAGTGGAAGTATAGAAATTGGTGTCACAGCGTGTGATCCCGAGTCATTAGAACTGCCATCGAGTGCTACAGATCTTCGCGATGGCTCTTGGGTAAGTACTGTTTGTTTTGTAGAGTTCTGCAATTTGATGGAATAGTTGCTAATGTTTTGGGAAATTTTCATTGTAGATTATGTCAGGGAGTTCAATATTGAAGGATGGGCGATCAGTGGTTGAAGTGTATGGAACTGATTTGGATAAACTTGGAGAAGGTGATCGTATTGGTGTAATGAGAACAGCAGAGGTAAATGTACACAGTTGTCCAGTGTTTCATTAATATGTTGCCCTGTCATATTCACTAATTTGATGTTGTGCATGTTATTAGGGGGAATTGGAGTTCTTTGTAAATGGTATTTCTCAAGGAACTGCAGCAGAAGATATACCTAGTCGAGTGTTTGCTGTTGTTGACATGTACGGGAAATGTGCTCAGGTTTCTGTGATAGATCCCGACACTCCTGGAGAGACAGATGGTATGTGAACAGTTACATTTTTTCAGCTGACGTTGATCATTTTTCTGTCACCATAAATTGTGAAGTTGCCAATTACTGATAAGTGCAAAACGTTTTAATGCAGAGTTGAACCTCAAAATAATTAACTTTGTATGTAGAAATTTTGTTTGTGTTAACATACTGTTTTGTCTAGCAGAAATTTCGATTTAAAACTTTCAGTTTCTTGAATTAATATTTTGCATGAATAAAAAGTCAAAGGAAAGTTATGTTGCAGTAATTTCTTTGATAACAGATCTATATCACAGTTTTTCATTCATTTTTTTTTTCTTCTGAAAATTGACATTGAAGGTCTCTTTTTATTTTCTTTAATGTGAATAATCAACCTTAAATAACAAACAAACAAAAATGAATTGATTTTAAAAGTTATTAAATGTCAGCATTTACATGTCAATTGATTCATAAGGAAAAATATTTTTTGATATTAGTTAAAATGTGTGCCTTTGTATCGAAGGATATTAGATCTGCAAACATGAATACATATAATTTTTTTATCCTAGTAGCTAGAAGAGAAATTAAAAAAAAAAAAAGAAATTAACCCTGAGTTGCATGAACCTATTTAAAGATTTGTTAAACGCTACTGGTCCTGGAAGTGTTGTCTTAGTGGAAGAAAGCGTTGCAAGAATGTTCTTTTAGCTAACCAATTCGTTAAAGTACTCTTTAAATTATAGATTGAAATTTGGACCTATGAACTGTTAACCTTTCGTTTACTTATTCTTACACTACTGCACTTAACAATACTGCCTATGCTATTAGGAACAGTTATTTTCCTATCAATTTACAGGCTGTGTGAACAGCAGACCTAAGGATAATATTTATCAATTGCTTCATCGTGCATGATTTTCCTGAGTATTAAAGCGGTTAAAACTTTTTTCCCAGCACTCGTTTCTTTTCTGACTGGTGTCTGTATTTTCAATTGTACTTGAATTGCTAATAATATCCAAAAGAGATATTTTTTCTCTTTCTGAAAAATTTCTCCTTTCCCCCTCCTTTCTTTTTTCTTTCCTTTGCAATTACGAAGTTGCATCACCAACCTACGCAGTACAGGACAGAAGACCCTTGGACCACTTCAGACGAGAGCGTTTGAAGGAAGTTTGTAGTTAAAGACAGTTGTGTAGAAGAAGTAGGAGGCTTTGAGCTTCATCAAAGAACTTCTACAAACCTTGAAAACTATAGTCCATTTAATGTATTTCTTTTTAAAGAATGATTAGTAAATGGGTCGTTAAATATCACTCTTGCAACGACCTACTCTTTAAAGGACCAAGTAGTTTTAAAGATCCATTTGCTAATATTGGAATAAAATATTACAGGACTCTTTTCTTGCAACTGGCCATAAATCTCATACACTAAAATCAGATTAATTTTTTCCTGCTGAGAATTGCCCTTCTTCTCTTGTTTGTTGTTATTTGCAATTTATAATGTAATATTGAAAGTATTGAATTTGGTGTTGATGGTATTTGTACACTGGGGCTGAGGCCATGACAATTCATGAATTGGCAAGGAACAATGCAAGTAATTTTAGGTAGTTTCTGAACATAATGTTGGAGTTATTCTAAACTTAAATTTTTTAGCATAGCAGATCTACAGGAATCTAGCAATCAGATGCCAAGCACATCCATTCCAATATCATTTCCAAACAGAAGTTTGCAAACTCTTTTACCCCTATAAACCTTGTGTTCGCAAACCCCTGCGAACAAACTTTGTAAAGGGGTTTGTGACAATAATATTACAATGCCAGAATTTTAAATCTCAGATGTACAAATGATTAGCAAATATTAGGTTAATAATTATCAAAGAAATTATTGCTTGCGTAAGATCCAGTAGGTATTCATTGTCATTAAAACTAAATACATTTTCTTTGCAGATACTAGATTAATCATTGTTTTATTGTATTAATTTTGTACTAAATTTTTGTAGATATATTGTAAGACTATGGATTTAGTTTTATTGATGTTTGTCTGTAAATTTTTGGTGGTAATGTTTTAGTTTTTCATTATGAATTGTAATGCAATATGTAAAATTATTTTTAATAACAATCTGATTTTATTGTTTTGCTTTCAAAGTTACTAATGAATTTGCAAGGGATTTGCCACTTTCTTCATTGTTCTAGAAGGGATTCTCAAGAAGAAAAAGTTTTGGGAACTGCTGCTTTAGTAGATGATGCATGAACACCTTGTCTAGTCCCATGTATCACTTGTCCTTTGCGCCAATTTCACTAGAATCAATTCCATATTTCTGGCAAATCACTGTTATGGTGTTGGGTTAACATTGAAAACCTAGAACTCTCTATGAGAAAGTTATCTAGTACCAAATACTGAAAACGTGCTTTTAAGTAATAGCAATAAGATACCACTACACTCTTCATTAATTGGGGTAATAAACTGGGTGAAAACTTCGAAGAATTAAAAGAAAGAAAGGATAATGATGGGAAGAAATTTAATCTACAAATACTTGCATGACGCCTTGATAGTTCTGTTATGTCTGCTCAAACTTCAAATGAATTTGCACCTAAAAACATCAAATATTTATAATTTATAATTTGTATTATTACGAGTAGTATTATTGTTATTATTATCATTATAAAATTATAATTAATATGATATAACTTCAAAAATTACTACTACATATTTTTTTAAATAGATAACAAAACTCTACAAATAAAAACACAAATGTCTTGGGACTAATGCCAAAAATTAACAAAGTTTTTAGGCCGTAAAGTTGAATTTGATTTAGTTCTATCAAATATTTACATGCATTCTTAGGCTTTCTTTTTATCATTAGAAATGTATAAACCTTTCTGTTTATAATTGATGCCAATCATTGACATGCTTCAATATTTTAAAATATATAATATTAATCAGTGCACTTTTAGAGTTTTTTGTTTGAAATAAAAAATGAAATGTACTATTTTATTTGTAAAACATATGAAAAATGTTTTAAGTTAACATTTACTAGAATTATTTTATTATCGAGTATTGATAAAATGATGTTTTGGTTATTTGCAGCCCCCTGTACTGGTGGATCGGAATCTGAAGGGGAAATCAACAATGATCACACAATGACAGCAATTACGAATTTAGTTACAAATCTCAATGTTAATATGAATGTAAATCACAGTCTTCAACATGGTTGCCATAGTAATGAAAGTGAGCGTTTGGAATTTCATGAACGGTGTGGAAGCCTTGTCAAACTCTCGTGTAACAACAGAACAGCAGAAAGAAGACGACCCCTAGATGAATTTAATAATGGTGTTGTTATGACTCATAGACCCCTCAGGGATAATGAATTATTTGAGGTAAAAATTGTTCCTTAAAATATTTACATCGTATTGAAATGGCCTCTTTTATTCTTGCAAATAAAATCTCTTCCATGTCCGGAGACTATAATGTTTTGGTATTGTTCTTAATGACATATCAGTATTTGTCTCCTCTGGGCCAATGTTTGCAACAAGAGGATTACTAATTTTTTTTCTCTTTTCTTTCCAACATTTATAGTTTTCTTACCAATTTTCTCTCTCAAATTCTTGATTGTTTATTGCTTGTAATACTAAGTTCGTTTGTTTTGTTTTTTATGGTGCAATGCTCTACTTATTTCATGGGCTTCTGAGTTTTGTAATATTTGTGCTAAAGACTAGGTTATTTTTCACTCTCATGTTCAAACATGAATTGGCATTGTGAAACATATTTAGTGTAGGCTTTCATGACTGAAACAAAAATCTTGTTTGGAGGAATCATTAAATTAACAAAGGAAGCAAAATTCTGACAATGTTTTGAGGAACTTTAATTTAAATTAATATCAGAATTTGATAAAATGGTTAAGAAATTGCTAGAAATTAAAACAATCAAGTGTTGCCAGCAAAAGAAAATTGTTTTTGTTTTTAATGGTGAAATAGTGACACACATTGTAAAATATATTTTGAGACTCTACCACAACTTGCCCAATGAATTGTTCCAGATTCGTATTGATCGGTTGGTTGACAAATGGTCTGGTAGTATTGAAGTTGGCATTACCACTCATAATCCTACTGCATTGGAATTTCCTGCTACAATGACTAACATGCGCAGTGGTACAACTATGATGTCAGGTTGTGGGATCCTGACAAATGGCAAAGGAACACGTAGAGAATATGGTGAATTTAATTTAGATGAACTAAGAGTAAGTTTGGTTAACGTTTTTTTCTACCTTAGTTACAAATATATATTGCAATATTGGGTATTGATGGGAATTGATTTCAGGAGGGTGATCGTATTGGTATGATGAGGAAATCTAATGGTAATCTTCATTACTTCATTAATGGTCTTGATCAAGGTGTTGCTGCCACAAAGGTCCCTGCTTGTGTTTGGGGAGTTGTGGATTTATACGGGATGACTGTAAAGGTATCTTTCTTGCTAATTTTGTGCACTCATATAATGTGAATCTCTGAATATTTGAATAAAATATAATTAAAATGTCGTTTGGTAGAAAAATTGGAGGAGATTTGACGTTTGATGATATATGACAGAAATATGCACTTGTATTCCTTAATATCTTGAATTTTTTCTTTCCCTTTCAACCTCGCCTTCCCCATTAACATGCTAGAAAATCAAAGTTCAATAAGTTGAAATGTTTGATAATTCAATAATTTTACTTTCTATTTTTCTTACTTCCATACAATGTACATTCATAGTAAAGAGAAAGTATTATAATGCTGTGATAAAAATCATCCATTTTGCAACAAAAAACTCTTGTTGTGAGGCTCTGGAGTTAAAAAATGGATGACTCTTGTTTCTAAATGTAGTAAATTACCTCCTCTATCATGATGTGAAGTCAGAATTCATGTTTCGTGGGCCCTTAATGCCAAAATTTGGTTGATGATAAAATTGTTGTGTCCATCTCTTAGTGGTTGAACCAAAATTGATATTCCTTGTTTGATTTGGCTGAACTTAAGGCCCTGCAAGTTTGGAATTGATGTTTTAATTTTTTGAAAGTACTTTATTTGAAGTTTCAAAATTTTCTCAAAAATGGTTCCAGTTTTTTTTTTACTTTTTTACCCTTACATTATAAGAAGAAAAAGTATTGTAATCATGTGCCAGTAAACAATGAATTTTTGACAAAAACTCATTTGCCAGGCCCTTTTAAAGAAAGAGCGGATAAATCTTATTTCCTATGTATAGTAAATGACTTTCTCTAACGTTGTGTAGTGAGAATCAATGTTTTGCAAATCCTTCATGCCAAAAATGGTGTAGGTGACAAAATGTTTTGTCCTTATGTCTGCTTGTCTGTCTGTTCATCTGTGGTCAAAGCTAGTGCATAATTCATTCAAATGATTTTCTCCAAAATTATTCTGTGATTAATTTAAACAAACTTGATGGTCTGCAAGTTTGAAACAAATATTTTAATTTATGGGGGTACTTTCCAACAAGCTTCAACATTTTAAAAATTTTCTCAAAAATTGCTCCAAATATTTTGATTTAACTTTGTCCTCAGATACTGTAAAAGACACTTAAAAGAATAGTGTAGGTCTCAGTTTCATTAAGGTTTCTGTTTTTCAAAAATTGCATAAGTTCAAAATTCTATTGGCATCTTTCTACAACCACAATATTGAAGATAGAGATTTTTTCCATAATGAATTCTGTTCTAAAATAGTATACCTTTAAATAAGGTCTTGCCCAATTTTTTGAAGGAAAAAAGAGTAGTCTTGTGCATAAGTTTTCCTTGGAAGTTAATGCAATTTATAAAAAAATTCTCAAGTACAGTTCCAAATTTTGTACTTGAATATAGCAAAATATGCTTTAAAAAAATGTTGCTGGTCCTGTTTTCATTCAACATGCTCTGAATTTTGAAAAACTGCACGAGTTACTAATAGTGCGTGACTTTACAATACTTGAAAATATGCTCGACTTTACAATACCTGATATCATTTCTTGTGACTGGTGTTAAGGAATTAGATAAAGCTGGGATTGATATTGCTGCAATTACTGAAACAAAAAAAAGTTAACAGGGCTCATCAGAATTACAAAATTATATATGATATACAGTCGGAGTCCTCCCCCAAAACAGAGGCGAATCGGCTGGTGTATTTATTTGGATCAGAAAACATTGAAAACGAATAATATCGATATTTCAAATATACGAAAGCAATAATAACAATGAGATATTAAGTAGATAGGATTACGTTTCAGATCTTGGCCTTGTACGCCAGAAGAGGGGAGAACCAAGTGCAATAAATTCTAGACGAACAACTGCTGAAGCAGCAATAAATAAGAAAATTAAATAAAATAACTGCTCTTTTTATATTAGGTGATTGTAAATGCAAGAAGTAGGGAATACCTATAAAAGATATAGTAGGACACAGAAGGTGAATACACACTTAAACATAATGGGAAGAAATTAATGAGACATTTGCCATGTACAATGAGCTGAATTCTTAACACTTCTGTAACCTAGAAATATTCACAAATCACAAAATGGACAGCCACGTGGATGCCGCTCTATAATTGTGATTAACGTACTTTGCAAACAATAAACATTGGATAAATATCAAGAGATGTAAGAGTTATTTAAGAAGATTTTGATGTGTCATCCTGGAACGAACCATTTCTTAGTAGATGCACTAAAACTCAATGTTCAACCCAGAAGAATGGAAGAAAATCCATCTTAAAAACCAAACAAGTACAGTAAAATAGGAACATTTAAAGTTCAAGCCTTTTATACAAGTATTATATGATAAGATTTTATAAACGAGAGTAGACTCAACCAGAAAATATTTACTTATTTTACTGATAAGTAACAATATAATGAAGAATGGCAATACATTCAAAGAATTAATTAAACGGCAGCTAGCGCGGAAAGCATGAGGGTCAACAGTGAAACAAAAATTTCAAGCAAACGAGGTCTATAGAGTTTTGCAATGATTAATATAAACAACTAATTGAAGGAAAAAGAATGCATATTTTAAAGGACTCTTCATCCTCATCCTTGAGAATATGAATCTTAAGAATAGATAATTAAAAAAAAAAAATCTGCTTTTAGTTAAAAGGAAAGTCCGTGAAGAGCTTAAATGAGAAAGTATGAGAAAAGGAATATTATGTCCAATGATGTAGCGAAAAAAATTGAAATGCACTATAACTATTGGAAACCAAGTAAGGGAGAATAAAACTTACTTATAAATTTTAATCTTAAATAATCAAGAAAAAGATGATAGAGTTCAATTAAATAATATTCAGAAAGCTAAATGGTTACTTTTAAAATCACTATGAAACTCTGCAGATGAAGAGAAGAAGAATAGAAATTTTATATATGATTAATTCTATTGATCTGAATCCTATGGATTGAGTGTGAAAAGCCAGCTTAACAAAACCAAACAAAATAAATTATGTCCACGGTACTAGGTACTGTGATAAACAAACATGGAATGATTCGATACTCTTAGCTAATCAAAATCATTCAAGCAAGAGCTTCTTACTTTATTAATAATCTGCTGGTCATCTGAATGTGTGGCTTTGAAAGAATGGAACGAAGCGCTTATGACCTAATATAACTAAACCATATATAAAAAGGCGAAAGCAAATTTGAAGTGTCAAATTATAGAGGTATAAAGCTTCTAAATTCCCTGTTATAAAATCTAGGCCAAAATTATCTAAAATCAAAATAGATTAGTGCTATTGTAAACTCAACACTATCTGAAACGTAACACATGGTTTTTTAAAAAAGGTGATCAATGACACAGAGACTGTATTTTTGTAGCGGCTAGCACTTACTTACTACAAGAGAAGGGATTTTGTTAAACTACAATAATACTATGTCTTTATAGACTACGTAGAAAGCATTTGAATAGCCTTAAAAGAAGATTAATTAGGGAAACACCGGATAGAATATAGCTTGATCCTAATGCTCCTTTCATGCTACTTTCAGCAATTCAAAAGTCTTTATAATCAAATAAAATAAATTGAACTGTATTGCTAGAGGGAATGGAAAAGAAAGCGTATATAAACCAGGGAGTAGAGCAGGGATTGCCCGTCTCGTTCGGCAAGGGCTTTTTATATATTTATCGGAAGTGATCATTAAATAATAGTTGAGGGACTTTAAATGATGTTTTAAGATTAAATAATGTCGAGATCCCAACAGTTACTTTTTTTTGCCGATGACTTCCAGTCTTATCATTAAGGAAAATCCTGAATATGAAGAAATTCAATGTTGTTTAATGCAGTCCACAAGTTATAGTCAGGCTAGTTGCTAATATGAGTATAAGTATGAAAATCATCACAAGTAAAACTAAAGTGATGGCATTATAAAAGGACTTAGAACCTCAAGAAGACAAAGATAGTTGTTTTGAGCGCAATATAATGTGACAAGTAAATGAATTTAAATATTTGGATATCATTTTATTTATATACGATAATAAGGAATATCGTGAAATAAGCTGAAGTCAACTTCACATATTTCTGGTTGAAGCGTTAACATTGCTAATCCTCTATACATTCAAAGCCGCAAAAGTCGAAACTCTTTTCTCCAGATTTTACTAAAGTTATTTCCTTTGCCATTATACTACTTTGCAGAAAGATGAGAGCTGGACCGCATGATACACAGATAGGTCGAGAGTGTTTCCGGGAATTGACAGTCTGCAGAAAGTGAGAATTTTATCGTCTTTTTGTGGCAGGATATTCCCTATGTAGACCCTGAACTAAGAAGACAAGTAAAAAGTGTAGATATCAGAGACAGAACTAATGTTTGAAAGCCGGTTAAATAACGGAATACCTATATCCAAGAAATATCGGAGAATAAACTGAGGTACATTCGTCCTGCAGAATCCAGAAACTAGGATAAAGTAAACTCATTCTTCCAATATGTACCTAAAAGGAACAAAGAAGTGTAGGACGTCCTGTGAGAATGGATGACAGATTCTGAGACGGAACAGACCAAGAGGTCTAATCCTTGCTGTCGATGAGGATGATGATGATGATGATGATGATGATGATTTCTTGTGACTGGTGTTAATCAACTTTAATTCTGTATGCTAAGCATACTTGATTTTCATTAAGTTTTATGAAGTAAAATGCCAATTGTATTACTAACAAATTTGTTTTAAGTGGTTAAAATATAGTCCTGTAGAAAGAACTCTGAAGCAAAGCTAAAAATCTCAAACGAAGGTGTTAATATTCTCTTATATTTGTTGTAATTTTTTTCTGAATTAGGTAACAATTGTTGATAGAGATGAACGAGAAGAACAAAATCTGATAACCAGAAGAAATACTGCCCTTCGAGATCACCCAGTTATTCATGGTCTTCATGGTAAGGCCAACAAAATATTAAAAATTCTCTGATTAACTGTTATACAGAATGCTAATTGAAGCATAATTTTTCTAGATCTTCCTGACGATGATTTTATTGATAGACTTATGTTTCATACAAATTGTGGAACTCATGCTGCTGTCATCAATAACTGTCGAACAGCACATCGTCCTAAGTATGTTAACCTTTTTTTAATATTTATGATGAACTGCTTTTTGCTATCAAATTTCCTTATCAATTTTTTTGTGGTAGTGCAATGGATGATTTCAACAATGGTGTGGTGTTGACAAACCGTCCTCTTAAACCCAACGAATTATTTGAAGTCCGCCTTGATAAAATGGTGACCAAATGGGCAGGTTCAATAGAGATTGGGGTCACCACTCACAATCCCACAGAGCTTGAATACCCTTCAACAATGACAAACGTGAGGTAAGGATATATTCAGAAATATTTTCAATGTGCACAATACATTGCGCAACCCAATGTTTTATTTGTGATATGTGTAGTAGGTTGATAGCATAATTGTAAGTGATGTATAGTCTCTTGATTTTGTCCTTGCTAGGATGATACAGTCTGATTCAGTGTTTTGCTAACATTTACTTCCCACTTAATATGTTATAGATTCTCTTAATTTTTTAATTAATCTCAGCGTCATTCAAGAGAACTTATTTTAGTTTTATGCTAACAAAACGTCACAAAACCAGATGTAGTAATGGATACTAAAATGCTGCCCTAATAATACATGCAAAAAGAATCTGAAATTTGTTTTGATATTGTATATGGTTTAGGAGCTTGTGTTGTTCACAGTTTAATGTCAAGACAGTGGGAGTGGTGGACCTTTTGAAATTAACACTTTTTCTGTACCAGGAACTCATAATACATTTATTTCCATCAAAATCTTTAGATAGATTTTCTGTTCAAATGCAATATATTCTCTATACTACATCCAAAATGGAGTTAAAATATTTCTTAACTCTTAAGACATGATGATTTGAGGGACACTTTCCTGCATATTTTCTTTTTTGTAGCTAGGTGCTTTCATCTCTTGAATATTTACCATTTTTCCAGTTTTGAATACTTGGTTGCTCAATGGGGCAAACTGGAAGAGATGGCGCAGGGCATCAACTGATGTCACTGCAGACCCTCTGCTTGGAGACCCTAGGTTCATGTCCTGACGGTGACAGGACTTTCAACACTAGTTTGTCAGCTGGGTCGATTTCAGTCACTATCTGAAGGAGAATTCTAGCAGCCAGTTGCTCTGATTGATAGTTGTCTGTGGTTTTTCCGATCAACACTAGGGGAATGCTGGAGCAGTACCCTAGCAAACAGGCAAAGGACCGTGTCCGATCTTTCCTACTTCTTCATTGTCCTATCCTCTCCCCTTACACACTCTTACACTAACGCACACTACACAAACACACATGTTGGAAAACCAGTCAGGAGCTTAGAGCTTGTCCTGGGGTGGTAGAAGATACCTGGTCGGGGAAACTCCCGATAGCCGACGGTATGTCGGCGCCGGATCTTGCCATACAGCGGGGGAAGATCACCGCCACCTCTCAAGCAAAAACATTCACTATATCTAGGGTAATGCCCTGGTAGTTGGTGCTTGGAATCTCTAACAAGCAATCAATGGGGCAATATCTGGTATGGCCATATGCATTTTCACTCACTCAACCCTCAATTTTCTTTGATAATTTTTGACACAGTAGATAATATTTTTAAGCTATGCCCAAGATTTTGAGAGGCATTGTGATTTCATTGGTGTTGTTAAAAGTGGTAACAGATAAACAAAGAAAGCAACATGCTCCAGTGTCTTGTTTTGTGGCTTCTTGACGTGAAAGCCAAAGTTATGTTTGCTATTCTTTGCTGTTGATTGAAAACATTGTGAAATAGCATGGCTTTGTGTTTCTAATGTGCTAATTTTTGAAATGACAAATTTAACAGATATTTTTTGTTGTTTAATGTGTACTGGTATTCAGATAATTATGGGGAATTAGTTGTACATGAGTACTGAAAGTTTGAGTCATTATCAGTTACATTTTATTCTGAAATTTTGAATTTTTAAACTACCAATTAACCTTCCATTCGATAAGTAATGATGAAAGTGTTTGTACCCACATACGCGAACTCTTGAGGACCTCTGGAGGCGCCCACTAGCTCCGAGGGAAGTTCAAAGGCCCCGGAAGAGAGGGTAATGGCGTAGATGACCAATAAGTGAAGTTTGTGCATTGGGTGCCCCACTCTTAGGGGGGGGGGGTTGCTCGCCGTAACATGATACGAGAACCTTTTGGTAGCGGCATGGCACAAGCAACTAATGAGACAAGATCGCTTTTCCGCATGCCGCGGTGGCCACGCGGTGGCAGTAGTGCGATTCTTGTCGCCCACGTAGAACACTGTGCGTTGACCCGCGGATTCTCGAGTAACATCGAGCTCCAAACCGAAGCAACCTGCCGCGGGTCACCGCCGCCGATTGTTGCCCTCGCAGGACACGGCCTTCGTTTCCGTAATGAAACTGGGTCGCACAAGGTCGTCAGTAAGGTCTCCACTGCGTGTCTGTTCTAACGGAAAAGTGTAGTAGTAAAAGGCAACTCCACTATCGGATAAAATAAAAAAATTTAAAAATTGTTAGCGAGAGTGACAAAAAAAACAAAAACAAAAAACGGGCAGGTATTGCTAAACAACGGTACTAGTGCAAAATCTTGAGGGTTTTTTTCCCCCTCCTCAATAATCAATTTCAGCCAAGAATATTTCTCACTTATACATATTTTCCCTTCAGTTCCCTGAAAAATGTATAAGTGAAGCTTTCTGTAGACTTTGCTTCTAGAGATCTCTACCTCACATGTGCCAATGGGTGGCATAAATTGAAGTGTTTGGAAGTGTTGGAACTGAGACTATCTTGTGGTATATCTACCTCCTGTAACCTAGAGAAGAATGTTTAGCCTTGCCTTATTGTTAAAAACTATAACTTTGAACGTTTGCTATTATGCTGTTGGGTTTTTAAAGTGTTCAAAAGTCAGACGAGCAAGAACTATGAAGGAAAATAATTGCGTTAAGGAATATGAATGGTTTCCAAACTATGTTGCAATAACATCAGAATGAATGATTTTTTATATATTCTACATTAAAGGATATCTCTGGTTAAGGTGGTAAGAAGTTCCCTAAAATCAAATGGAACATGAGTAGTTAAATTATGACCCTCTCAAAAAAGAATCAGGTTTTTGAAAGGTTTCATAGCCATCCACCCACCTCCACAACCCTTCTACAACCAAAAACTTCCTTTTTAATTTTTTTCTCTTTTATTTTATTAATATTTTTTATTTTTTCTAAACGCCAAATTCAAACCAAAAAAGAAAGAAAGAAAGAAAGAAACTGGAATAGGCCCAAAATAATATCAAAACACTGATTGTTGTGAATTTTACTCATTTTTTTATAGTTGGGCCGCAGTTTAAAAAAACTAAGCTTTTTCTGCCTTTAAAACTTATGCCCTTTACTTTAGTACCCTTTGGAATTTAAATACACTTCGGAAATGACTGCATTAGTGCTGTATATTTATTTGAGTTTTCATTGTACATTTGTATACATTATTGTATACAATTTTTTTCCCCTTGGAATTTAGTTTCACAAAATCATATTTTTTACTTTCTCATGCTTGTGAATGTAAGAAGAGAAGCGATTATCATTGTGCGCAGGAAAATGGCGAATTATCGACAGAAAAACTTGTCATGCCCTGGTAATGAAAAAGTGGATAAATCATACTCCTTTATGTAGTAAGGTACTTCCTCTCATACGTGGTGATGCCAGAATTCATGTTTTGAGGGTCCTTGATACTGAAAAGTAAATTGGCGGCACAACTTCTGCCTGTCCAACGTCAGCATCTAAATCGTTCAACTTGTGGTGGGAATAACACCACATTATTTCCGTTGAAATCTCGAAATTCATATCCTGCTGCATTACATAACTTTCCATACATTACGATGATACACAAAATATTATAATGATTCAGCCTATTTTCTAAAAATATGATATTCCCCAATCAGTCTAAATGAACTTGTGGCTTTGGGATTGCAAACAAATATTGTGATTTTTTGGGTACTTTAGAATTGTGCTGGTCTAGCGTTTGCTCACGTTTCGATTTTTGAAAATAGAAAAAGAGCGTCTTCCAACAACTACAATACTCAAGACAAATTTTGTTCTCATTAAAATCTCTTCTTTTCAGACAGATCTTGAAATAAGTTCATGTTCAATTTTTCGATAAAGACTAGATAATATTAGCAGCATTTCTATTGCATAGAGCTCATGGAGAGGAAACTCAAGAGGACCTGAGTTATTCTCAATACAGGAAAATTTTTGATTGAAAACTCGCTTGTACATTTATGTAGAACTTAACCGAGCAGTTACTCTTGTAGCACCTAGTTAATCCGTCAGTCCGCCCGTCAGTCCGCCCGTCTGGCCGCCCGTCAGTCCGCCCGTCAGTCCGCCCGTCTGGCCGCCCGTCTGGCCGCCCGTCAGTCCGCCCGTCTGTCCGTTCGCCCGTCTGTCTGCCTGTCCGCCCGACCGTCTGTCTGTCTGCCTGTCCGCCCGACCGTCTGTCTGTCTGCCTGTCCGTCAGTCCGATCTTCTGTCCGTCCGCTCCTCCCTGGCACTCGCTCTTCGCCTCTTCCTCCCGCTCACGCTCTCCGCGTCCCCATCACATCCTCTTCCCCCCTCCCGACCTTGGATTCAGGGATTAGGAAGAACAATGTCTTAGTGTGCCCAAATCGGGATGGAGTCCAGTATAAGACACCGTGGAGTCTGAAATACAGGTTGCAGGAGAAATTGTTGGATGATGTTGCCATACTTTCGCCAGTGACAGGCCTCGAATGAGGCAAGGGTAGGCAATTGCCCCGTGGGAAATTAATTCTTGTTGTATATATTTAATCATGCAGGCTTAATGTTATAAGCCATGACTTCTGGTTGTCTTTTTGAATTTGGAAATAAGTAAATTTATTTAAATTTTGTAATGAGACTCCTTACATTCTGGTAATATCTAACTCAATTATTATCTAGTGTTTTAAAATGCCCAGAAGTATCCTGTTACCCTTGTTACTTATTCTTATCAATATTCTTAGGTCTGTGAAATTAATATCTTAATTTCAGGTAATTTCAAGAGCTGGATATAATGGTACATATTGCGTATTTGCCCCTCTGCTATTCTGGTTTGTGTATTTTTATTTTCAAGTTGTGTACAATGCTCTCTCTTCATTTGAATCAAATAAGCATACATCATTGTTAAGTCCATTTCTTTTCATTATTTTTTTATACATTGCAACTTCAACATTGCTAAATATAGTTGTCATGTAGGTTTGTTTGAGATATTCAAAGGGATTCTCACTAATTTATCAAACTTGGCAATAGATTCATGAAGTTTCAAAAGAATCGCCTCTTTGTATATTCTGGCTGAAGTGGCTCAGAGCATCTGTTGATCAGCAGACTGGAGGAGAATTCTAGCAGCTTACTGCTTAAATTAGTAGTTTTCATGGTTCCTTCTATCAACATAAAACAAGTGTCAGAGCAGTACCTTAACAAACAGACCATGGACCATGTACCATCTTTCTTTCCTAATCTATAAACCCTGTAAAAGAATGTAGAACATAACCCCAAATTTTGTTCTTAAATATGCAATGAAAGTGATCATAATATGTAACAAATATTTTTAAAAAGGGATTGAATATGTAACATCAAAATATGCTCTTTTATATAGAACATTTACTAACAAAATAAATTTACACAATTTGAAATTACAGTAATAATATATTGATTAAACTAACTTTCAAAATAAGTATTAATATTTTCTTCTTTTTTTTTTTTTGTAGTACACTTTTATGTACTTGTGCAATGATAGCCAATACAAACGTGAAAACTCATATGACCGGCAAACAATCGCACTAGATTGTCAACATAGTGTTTCAAGCCTGCAACTACCAATATCTCTGATAATTTAGTTTGAATCAAGAAACACTTCACTAATACTTTCTTCGCTTAAGGGTAATATTCACATTCCTCACATGCTCTTGTAGCAACATGGGTGTTGGGCAGACAGGCACATATAATCTCACATACAAATTGCATGTGTATTTGAATGTGACACTTTACTTTGCCAGCATACAATTTCGGATGTATTTAAGAACAAATGCCGACTTTTATTTTGCTTTATTTTATTTCCAAAATAATACAGACCTAAGTTCTTTTCTAGCCAAAGTAGTTACATTGACATATTGTAGAAAGTACATACAATTGTTACAATATGTGTTTATGAACTCACAAGCAATGGAGAGAAGCAGTTGGTGGAGTATAAATAAGTAAATGAAATAATGAAATCGTGTAAATTTAAGCATTTCTCGTTCCATTGATTTCTGAAAGTTGCATACGATGGTTACGGTTGCATATGAAAATATCAATTTTGTGAGTGTTGACTGAGGTACAAGTTCTATTTATAGGATTATTGTTAGTACACGAGGCTCTAATATAAATAACAATGGTATTTCTAATATTGATAGCAGGGACTCTGAAACAAAGTTGCTGATACAGAAAAGTGCTCTCTGTGATTCCATGAATGAATTTATATAAGAAAATAAGAGATGTATAGTTTCTATAAGATTCGAGTGTAGGGATGTTGAGTGACCGAGCTATTGCTGTGTAATCATTGGTTATATAAGGATCAGGTAAGTTGAGTTTAAAGGCAGACATTCTAAACAACCTGTGTTGGGGTGCTTCAGGATGTTTTATATCACAAATTTGATATGGTGAGCAAATCGGAGATGCAAAAGATTAGATTTGATGAGCATAATGTAAAAAGATTTCAAGATTTGTATTGAACCAATTTCTTGACTTTCAAAGTAAAAACTGTTTTTGAAAATTTAATAAATATTATTTGTGAAATAAATTTTAAGAAAATTTCACTTATAAAAAATTGGCAAAATACATAAAATATAAGCAAGTTATCTTATACAGTAGACAAAAAATTGTCATATTGTGTGATGATTGTCGTGATTTGCCAAGAGTACAATTTTGAAAACTGTATATGGGGAGACAAAATATATGTAATTACTAGACTGTGGATATTTAGGTATAAATATATTTTGTACTAAATGAAGTTTTATATACACATTTTACAATTATTTGAATTAAAACCCATCAATTTTATAGCATCTATAAGAGCCTATTTCAACATTAATGCATATTTGTGCTTATTTTACTTTTTAATTTGCCTAATTTCTTTTGTCTGTAACTACTTTTAACGTTTTTCTTCAGTGTTGGCACAACAGACAAGGGTGATATTAATTTTAAGTTGCGTTAATTTGTAAGATAGTGGAAAATTAATTTTCCCATAAAAGTCTCGATGCCACTACTTGCTGACTTACTTTCTACAAAAGAAAAGTGACCTTCCTCAGTAAGAGACATTGGAGGAAGTATTAGTAATTTATTGTGAGGCAAAATACAGTACGATTAATCCTAACTACAGAACAAACAATTAAATAAGTTGATAAATAGTATTATCATAAAATATACAATACTGATTTTACATAATATTGATTTAGGTTTTTATTTTTGAGATATGTATATAATAAATAGTAAAAATGTGTGATTTTTGTAAGGTTCTTATTTTATTTGTACCTACTCTACCATTTAAGTAATTATGCAATTATTTAAACCCAGAATTGTGTAATTATTTAAAAAATATATTGTATATAAATACACCACTAAAATAATACACCATATGATAACAGATGTGTATTTTTAACAAAAATCTATAATGGCTCCCTCCAAAATGATTAGCTGGATCCACCCCTGCCCTTGCTGGGGTAGTTTGCCCACTGAAGGGTGATACCTGGATGGGGAAAACCATTAAGCTGATGTGTAGGTGGATCTCATCAGCTGGAGGATACACTGCCCTTTATAAAAGTATGCACTACACTTACAGGACTAAGTGACTAGGTTACGATTAATTGATGTTCCAGGAAACACAAAATAATCAATCAATTCATGTATGTTTTTTCTCCGATTCAACAGTTTCGTCGAATATTATCTCTCTCCACTTCAGTTTTCTATCAGTAATTTTCCTCATGATAATATTTGTATTTGTTGTAGTAATATTGTTCAAGGATTCACTTATTTTACTTTGTAAAGTTTCCGATTTATTGTTTACATTTCTTCATCAAGGTGAACAATAAATTTAATTTTTCAGTTTTGAATTCTGTAGACGAGATTGATTCCAACACCATGGGAATGCCTCTTAAGATTTATACAACATTTTTTGCAGATATATTTTAGCTTTTTTGAAGGAAAAAAATGCAACTAAAGTCTCTTTTACTGCAACTGATTAATTAATGTGAACTAATAAAACTAATAATTCATATCCTTTGCAGATCAGGTACGTGGATGATGACTGGTAATGGGGTGATGCACAATGGAACAACAGTCATAGATGAATATGGACAAAATCTAGACAGGCTTCAGGTCAGAAATATGAAATACTTGAGGAAATACAAAAATCGTACATTTAAAGATCTGGAGATAACTTATGTGATTTTACTTCTAGGTTGGAGACAGAGTTGGCGTCATGAGGAAAGAAAATGGAACCTTGCATTTCTTTGTTAATGGTCTGGATCAAGGTGCAGCAGCATCTAACATACCTGATCGTGTTTATGGTGTCATTGATTTATATGGTCAGGCAGCCCAAGCCACTATTGTAGATAGCTTAGATTGTTATTCCCCAGACACAGTGAATTCTAGTTTGTCCAATGCAACTATTTATAGGTATGTTAATAAATCATTTTGTGGAAGTTGTAGAGAATTTATTTCATAGGTGGCTAGAATATTACAATTTTTCTTTCAGTGATCTCCGATTTCACCATGTTCATGGGAAAAATGCACGTGTTTTTAATAATGGTCTTACTGCATCACGGCCAAGAGCATTTGCAGAATTTAATGATGCCATTGTTATCAGTAATCGTGCCTTGAGAGAAGGAGAGATGTTTGAAGTGGTTATTGAGAAGATGGTAGATAGGTGGTCAGGATCTATCGAAGCAGGTCAGTTTTACTCATGTAATTGTGTTATTGTTTTTGTTATATAAATTAAATATTGGTAATTTGTTCTTTCAGGATTCCCATTCCTTCTAAGGTTCTCTGCATATAATTTTTTGAAAAAGCATGCTTTAAAAAAATCATTATGCAGTAGTTCTCAAATAAAACCCCACTTCACAATTTTCAAAGGTTCAAGACAAAAATTGTGAAAATTGCGAGGAATGTATATTAGTGGGCAATTACTTTTGCTTTTATATAAAATTAATGATCATAAATACTATTTTATTAATAATATCCATTAATGAAAAATTATTGTGCTTCTTAGACACAGCACTTCTTCACAAACTAATTTTACTTTTCTCATTATATTCTCGAAAACATGACTCTCTTTTGATGAAATGAACACTAAAACCAAAACACTCAGAACTACAGAAAAAATTAACATGCAACTGTTTCTAGTAACAAAGTTAACAGTTGTAGTAACACAGTTCCATGCTAACATGTTATAAGAGAAAGGGAATATCATGGAAATAACAGCCTCAACAAGATAATCATTCTGTAAACTAACAAAATATCAACTGCTCTCAAGGATATTTTGGTATGATAAGAGAGTTGAAGTTTTATTTGTGTATGTATGGAAATTATTTAATGCTTTTAATCCCCATGAAGAAATTGAGATCTTTGTCAGTCTCAAGTTGTTGTAGAATTGCAAAGCATTACTGCATTACTAACCAGTATATGGCTTAATTGGAAATGAAAGTGTGGTTTATTCAGTCACATATTACATTTGATATGTCAGCAATATGCAAAACAATTCTGAAGTGTATGCAATCTACAACACATCAGTGTTCTTTGAAAATGGAACTGGAAATGTTGGTTTCAGGAGTTACTGCAATTCGTCCAGAAGACTTGGATTTTCCCAGTACAATGACTGATATTAATCATGACACATGGATGCTATCAGGGTCAGCAGTAATGCAAGATGGAGTAACATTGCGAAATGGTTACTCTTGTGATTTAGATGCTTTGGTGACTGGAACACGAATTGGTAAGTTTTTTATGTACATTAAGATGTGGTAGCATCATCAGATCAATGCAGTTTTTGTTTCTATATAGTGCTACAAAGAATTTAAGAGCATAATATATATTTATATATTCTTCTGTGTCTCAAGTGTGAAAGCGAAAATTGAAGTTTCAGTACAAAAATTTCAGTATGTCAAGGTTCTTGATACTGAGAGGAGTAATTCAAATGTTTGTAATTTACAAGCCAAAATTAACTGCCAACTGCTTTCTGCTGCATGCTTTTAGTCACAAATTCGCACAATTCTCTCAATGCAAAGCACTATACATGGCATAGAGAACAGTCCTTCAGGGTTCTTTACATTAACACTGTTAGAACTCTCAAATTGTTCAATGTATTTGCAGTTTTCGGGCAGGATGTAATGAGAAAACTATAGCCCTCTGCTAATGACATAGGGTTTATTTGTTTCTCTTAAGGGCAAGTTCACATCCTCGCATACTTCACACCACGCAACCAATTCAACGAAGACATATTCATACAGTAAAGAAATCATGTTGCAGTTGTATCGTTTATTACAAATTAGTGAAATTTTTATATTTTAGGCTGAAAATTACAATGCACAAGTTACTTTTGACCTTTAAGTTTCTAGCTTGTTGTTGATAGTTCCTTTTGTTCTTAATTGTTTTTGAGCGTTAACGTTTCTTTAAAACTTGTGAAGCTGGAAATTTATTTCTAAGTACAATCTTTCCCTGTACATTTTTCGTATAATTATTTTATGTAGACTTTTCAGTGATCATGCACTGTTGTAATTATTTCATATTTGTTTGCATGTAATTTTGCGACAATTTACCAAGAACATCTAAACAAGATTTTCTCAAAATTTGCATCAGTTGTATTTTTCCATTATACTCTTGGTATGGATAGATCACATGCACTAAATTGCATGACATATGCACCGTTTTGATAAAAACATTTGAGATTTTATGAAAGGAAAAAGAATTTTCTTAATGTCAATATTTATGTTCCATATTTATTTTATAAATAAATGTATTTGTGGAAACAAATGCTTTATATTTCATCAAAAGTTTCCTAATTTCTCAACGGTTTTGTGAAACTTTTTCTATCTTCTATGTAAACATAATTGTATCTTTCATAGATAGGGTGACCTTAATGATAATGAAAATCAGGACATCTGAAATATATTTCAGAGCAAATTGTTTATTATTATTGAACTAAATAGTATATTAAGTAAATTGTATAACAAAGAAATAGTATATCAAGACACAACTAAATAGTACATCAAGATAATTTACATCCCTCACTTTCAAGACTATCAGGGTAATCACTCTTTATCTAGGACAAATTTCCCTGACTTTCTCAGGAATATCCTAGTAATTTCCTTATTTTTCATTGGTAAAATTTGTGAAGCATTTCGGGGGATTTAAATGAAATATTAAATAAATCACGAGGCTGTCCATAAATTGCACGATGCCAATTTGAAGTATTTTGAATACCCCCTCCCCTTCTCCTCTTAATGCACCAGTAATGCACACTTGAACTCCCCCTAAACAATTACTTGAAGCTTCTGACAATGACATCCCCCTCCCCTGGTAAATGGAAGTAGTTAAAATAAATTATAGCACAGTAAAAACAAGTTAAATTCTTTTATTTTTGTTGTGATAATTAAAGTCGGAATTAGTTCACGATGCCGACAGCACCTGCCAATAAGATTGGGGCAAGTTGTGAGTGAAGGAAGGACATGTATATGAGACAGTTTTTCATTACATTTCATGCCTGCACTGTTATGGATGACACAGGGGCAAGAGTCTACTACACCAATTTAAACAGATTCTAGAATATACTACGTGTCAGTTTGCAATATTTTTTTGTTATCTTACAGATTGAATAAAATGTTGATGAAAAAATATTTCCATTTATTCCTTAAATGAACAATTTACATCAAATAACTTCAATTTGTTTGTGATTTTAAAACAAATTAATTAGTTTATATTTTGATGTTTTAGTATAAGACTAAAAAAGAAATTATTTCAGAAAATGTTGAAAGAAAAAAAAAATCAATGGGACATAACAATAAACTAATACCCCCACCTCTATGTAATACAGTGTAACATTGACTCCCTCCCCCTTCTTTAGCATTATGTAATTTATGAAAAACCCCTATTGACTTTTTGTCCTTTTTGCCTTGGCATTCCAGATTCCCTTGCATTAACACATTGTGAGAGAGGCAGATGCACTTTGATTCAAAACACACAGTACCTTTCTTTATCTATTTTTCAGCTCTCAAATTGAACTGTAAAAAGACAAAAATAATATTTACTTATTGTATGAATTTGCTGCTTGCATTCTATTATGTAACGCACAGTTCTGTGATGTGGTACACAAGTAGCCCTAAACTACAATTTTTTGTCGGACAGTGTGGAATTATAACAGAGAATAAAAATTCAGGACATTTGTAGAAGAAAAGAAAAATCTGACAGGATAGGGGAAAACTTGTCGATATTCAGAACGTATCCCACTATTTCAGGTCTTATTGCAACCCTACTCATAGAGTTACGATTTCTTTGGCTGTTAACTCATTCTGCTTATGGAAAGGATGGCAGATAGAAGGTCTGGAAAACTTACTTTTGTAAAATTTCACTCCAATGGTGTGGAGTGCTCTTATCAAATATGATATGAGTGCCATTTTCATCAAAATTTGTGAAATTTTGAGAATTGTAAGTTTGAACATCTTGCGCTTTGTTTTCTGGAGAAAGTTTTTCAAGACAAATAGTAATCTTTTCTAGGCTAGCAATTTTAGTTTGTATATAGGGTGCTAATAGTGCTGATCTCATGAGGTCAGCATTTAATGTTCTGATCTCATGGGAATATTTTTATTTTTTTAATGTTGTGAATATGAATGAGTTTATTTTGTGCTAATGAATATTTCTGAAGTTAATTTTCATAATGAATTTATTTTCAATTATTTATTTAGGAATGATGCGTCATGATGATGGTACACTCCACTATTACATTGATGGTGTGGATCAAGGTGCTGCCTGTGGTGGTGTACCTCCTCATGTATACGCTGTTGTAGACCTCTATGGACAGTGTGCACAAGTGTGTATTACACAGACTGACAGAAGAGAAAATCCAGCTCCCAGTGAAAATGTTTGCCAACCAGTTAGTCTTCTTCCAGCAGGGAATACAAACAGTCATGCTGCTGAAGTTACTCATCGGTAAGTAACACGTTGATTGAAAGTATCCTTAATAGATTCCAAAATCCCTTTGTAGAAATTAATATCTTAGTTTTATATAGGCCCGTGGATAATATTTATGTTAGATTTATTGAAGCAAACACTGTGATGTGGCTATGATGACATTTTTGACTTGAAAGAAAACTTCAAACTGGCAAATTGCTTTATTTTATGGATTTCATTGCATGGATGGAATTCCAATTATCTGATATTTCATCT